ATTTACTTTAGAAAAACTACTCAAGCATTGAAAAGTGACAGACATTTATTTAGGCATAATTGAATTAAGACAGAAGAATGCCACATTAAGAGACACTTTCTATTCGTAACTATCGAAGTACCATGGGTGAGCCGAGGGCCGCTTGTAATTCGAAGAATATTCCCGAAACTAAGGTAACCTATAGCTGGAAATCTTACCAGAAAATGTTGGTAATAAAACAAGATTGAATGAATAAGCATGTACTAAGGTTGATAGTCAATTCTGTGCAAAAGGTTTGTTTCATTTTACGGTAGCTCATAAATACATAAACACGTGTACTGAATTATTTCTGCATTTTATTGTGCATCAATTTTTTACATCTCCACTAAACGAATATAACAGGCAAATTTGTAATGCTCTTAATAATTTTGTCCTTTCATCGCTTTAAGTCTGCGTATAGTTCAACTTTTGAACCTTTTGACTTTGCCCTTGCTTCAAAGTCGCGATAATTTGTTAAATACTTAGCTTGATATATACCTTCCCATAATTTCAAAAGATTGATTCGACCTAAGAAGAAAATTATTCGCGTCAACAAATGCTCATAACTTACCGTCTTTAGTTTCAGTCTTCAGAAACTTCAGAGGGGACGAGTGAGGAGAGTGGATTATCACAGGAATTATTGCTGCCTGAGCATTGCCTGACAGCAATAACGAGTTTTCAGCTCCATCAGACGGTTTCACTGTTCTACAAGGAAACCAATTACAAAGCTGAAGTATAAAATTTTCCGAACTGGAATGCTATCTCGAAGCGATAAATGCTGTAGAGGTAATTCAGAAATAGGAAAAGACAGGGAAGAATCTCTTTAAGGACAAATGCATAAGGTTTAAAAAGAAACAGTTTCTTGTCACTTTATAACTGTTAATTTTCTGCAGAGATTTATGCAGTTACTAATGCAGGAGCAATCAAAAAAATGACAACAGAATTCAATCAATTATTCTTGAAGAATTTCCGGGCAGTATTACGTCAACGCCAGCGACATGGACGCTTTTTATGACTGCTTGCAGTTGGCTGTTAGCGCCATATCGCTTGACGACGTCGCAGCTGTCACAGACGACCTCAACGCGAAGATGAACGCAGCGTACAGCAAACGGCAAGGCGCACTCAACCGTCGATATTTATATTGCGAATAACAAAACAGGTGTAAGTTAAGCTCTTGCGCCACAAATGCTGATACAGTGGACATCACAAGCCAGAGACATTATGCGAGTGCAAGCGGCTAAAGGCGAAGATCTAAACAAATAACAACAGTACGGGGAGCTCTGTACTGAATGGTTTCCGTATGCGACTAAGCTGCGAAATTCTGGCTCTTCCTTAACGTTCGAAAGTTCTGGGCAATCCATCCTGCAGAGCTCATTTGCTGTTAGGATGGAGGTGAAGCACTTCCGGAAGTTGACCAATTTCAGTATACCGACTCCATTATCTCCAGCAATCGTCCAATCAGAGCTAAACAAAAGGATCGCCCTAACCTGAAGTGCCCTTGGTAAACTGTCAAACAGTTCGAATTGACGAAACAGGAGAGACTCGGTCCAAAAAATCTGCCCATAAATTGCCCCGGTCAGGTGAATGCTGTTGAGTGGCACTGAGACACCTGTTCGAAAGAAGAACCAAGAACGACAGTTGAAATAAGTGCAGCTGCGTTGGATTAGACGCAGAATATGGGTTAGATAGCAGGACTAAGTAAGGAATGACTTGTGTTCAAAGGATAACTGACAACAGTAGACGTGGAGATTAAGAAACGGAGATTTGCCATTTGCATGTTAGACAAACTGATTGAAGTGAACCATTTGCTCCAACAAGCTAACGGAGCAGAAACTCGGTAGACATGAACAGGGCGGCCAGCTTGCAACATGAAGAAATAACACAGAGGCAGATCTGTTTCCTGAAAGTAATATTTACTTCAGCAATGCTGTAGCGAGTACCTAATAGCAAAAGTGTTTAAAAGCTGCGCATATAACGAACATCATACACCAA